TTTGCCTAGAGCCCCAACAGCTCCCACTTGCTGCAAGGCATGGACCTCTCCAAGTCTGTGCCCTCTCCCTCAGCAGCTCTCCAGAGATACCAGTTCTAGCTAAAAATCTCTGACTTAAGTGTGCCATCCCATACCCTTCAGGCTAACATTTCACGTGTGTAAACATGGTCTCTGGATGGAATACATGGAACAGCAGGAGTCGTCTGGCTCCTTGTTATCCTTTCAAATATTCAGTAAATCAGTAATGTCAGATAAACAAGTTTCCTAGTGAATCATAAAATATTCTTCAACTTAGAATCTGTTTTCTTTTCTATAATTTAGTTTTATGTTACATTCTTGGGTGTTTTGGCTGCATGCATGTCTGTGTGAGGGTGTCAGAAGCCCTGGAACTGGATTTATGGGCACTTGTGAGTTGCCATGTGGGTGCTGGGAATTGAACCCCAGTCCTCTTCATGAAGAGCCATTTCTCCACCTCCAGAATCTATTTTAGTGTTCCTGGTCTTGATCTCCTTACAAGGCATCCCTGTGTTTTGTTTTTAAATGCTTTGGTATATTAAAAACACTCACAGAAACATCCATGAATCCAGTTCTTCAATAAGCCAGCAAGCCAAAACGATGCAGACTCTGAGTGCTGGTTATTGGTTGACCATTATGGCAGGAGTTGCTGAATGTTATTGGACAGATACCAGCACTGCACTCTTCTCAGAGAAGATGACACCAAAACTGGGTTTTTCCTTTTGAAATAAATATGATAAAAAGAATAGGGAGCCGGGCAGTGGTGGTGCATGCCTTTAATCCCAGCACTTGGAAGCTGAAGCAGGTGGATCTCTGAGTTTGAGGCCAGCCTGGTGTACAGATCTAGTTTCAGGACACCCAGGACTACACAGAGGAACCCTGTCTCAAAAAAATTGTAGGGAATAGCCAGTAAAATATTTGCCATGTAATCATGAGAACCTGAGTTCAGTTCTCAGGAGCCAAGCATGGCATTTGAAGACAAGCAGACCCTGGGGTTCACTGGGCAGCCAGCCTAACTGGTAAGCCACTGGCCAGTGAGAGACCTTGTCTCAAAAACACAAGGTGGACAGCTTATAGAGACTGCCCTGAGGTTGTCCTTTAGCACCTCTGTGAGCATACAAAGGAGTACACACACACACACACATGTGCATACACAAAAGATAATATTTCTCAAAGAATAAAAAGGCTCCTAAGGGCCGGGCGGTGGTGGCCCAAGCCTTTAATCCCAGCACTCGGGAGGCAGAGGCAGGCGGATCTCTGTGAGTTCCAGGCCGAGCTGGACCGACAGCCTCCAAAACAATACAGAGAAACCCTGTCTCATAAAACCAAAAAAAAAAAAAAAAAAAAAAGGCTCCTAAGATGTCAGTAAAATAGGGTAAGTGTGTTGATATGCATCATTCAGCTGAGTACACAAAACCAGGCAAGCATGCTTTCTATTTGGGTTTTATACTTAGATACACTGAGGCATGTTTGAACTTACTTAATTCACCTAAAAAACTGTCTGGCAAGACAATGGAGTCAAAGCCACTTCTGACTCTCCAGGAATCATGCCACAGCAGCAAAGAAAATACAGAGGAATGTCCGTGCTCTCAGCCACAGCTACAAGGCCACTTTCCCTGAATGTGTGAGAGTGACACTCATGCCGAAAAAGTGAGTGATTCTTCAGTGTGACAGAAGGCAAAACCCAAGTGGGGAAGAAGCCCCTGGGGAATCTGGCTGGCTCAGCAGTCTGGAGTGCACAGGGCAAGGTCAGGGGCTGGTGCTGGGAGCTTGTTTTCAAGTCTGCAAAGAACGGTTATTTAGCAAGTCCCTCGCATGAGCCAATCAGGACACGGGTTCATGTTCCTGTTGGGAGACCACACTGTGGCAGGAGGGAGAAGGGTCACTGGACACAGATGAAATTAACAGTGGTTATCTGTGGTTGGGGAGGCTATCAGGAGGAGTTTGCTTTCCTATTTTGTTATGTAAACGTTTTAATTGCTACATAGGTAAAATCATTCTTATAAACAGTAAACCAATTCATCAAGATGAAGTCTGAGACTGCCTGGGTATAAATGAGGCACAAGCAGTTAGCAAGAATGTCTGCTCTGTGGCCTCCCAGTCCCTCTCAGCCTAACCCTGATGGCTGAATGTCAGGTCCCGTTTGTTTGAAAGCCAGGTCAGCAAGGCTATTTTCCTGGCAGAATGCCGTGCAATTAGAACATCCCAGATCCTGGTTTGGTCCTAGCCCTTGGGAGCTCGCCCGTGTGGAACTTGCTTGAGTAACGCAGCCCTCCTGCTAGCCGGGAGAAGGCAGGCCATGGCTTCTCAAGAGACCCCTGGCTCTCAGCTGCACTCCTGGGTATGCTCCAGAGAGGAAGGGGCCGCTGAAGGGAGGACATTTCCACCACCCCCGCCCCTAGATGAGAAAAGAGGGCTGGTCACCCCTGGCTTGTGCTCAGAGGCCTTGTTTGGTTTGACCTTTTTACTCAGTGCCTTGGCCCTGATCTCTTCCCCAGATTTCTGGTTTCTTCTCATCCTGCCAATGCCAGGCCCCTAGAGGGCAGTGATGAGGCAGGTTAGACACCCAGAGAGCTGGGTCCAGTTTTGACCAATCCTGTCATAACTTCAGACTGCCTTCTCATTTATACAGTGTGAATGCAAGTACATGTGTGCGGGCATGCACGTGTGTATCATGAGACAAGGACTCATGGATCCCAGGCTGTTCCTTGAACTTTCTTTGTAGCAGATTACTCTGAACTTCAGTTCATTTTGCCTCTGCCTCCTGAGTGCTGGGATTACAGGCACTCACTACCACACCCGGCTTGTGGAGTGCTGGCTCTGTGCATGCTGGGTGACCAACTAAGCTATATCCTGGCCCTATGTGGTGTTTTATAAGGACCACACTAGAATCCTAGCAGGCAAACACTCAGGCCTGAAAAATCGTGGAGGGATACAGGGCTTTCTGTTAGAGGTACCCCAGTCATTGTAAGGGCACAAGTGGCTCATATTCACCAACACTATGCTGTGGGGACATGTGACAGCTTGCTGGCACCAAGATTTGATGTTTGGTTTTCATGCTCTGTGGGTCTACAGAAGCCCACCCTTGTTATCCAGGGTGCCTCAACAGGAGACCACTGTACACAGCCCCTCATTCATGGTGGACAGACCATGTAGGGAGAGTTTTCTCTGCTGTGCTGATAGACTAGCTCCGTTCCATCCTCTCACCAATGACAAGGTCCAAGGCAAGGGACTAGTCCTTCTCCTCACCCCCACAGGCTCTGCAGAGAAAGCTGAGTCTGTGGGAAACCAGGACCCCTCCCCAGTCTGCGGGGGTTGGCCGTCAGGTCTCTGAGGCTTCAGTCCTGCACACAGGAGCTGTCTGTTTCAGGTGGTTTGTCTCTGGCAGTGACAGGAAGGGGATGCCAAATTAACGCTGCGCAATAAATTCTGCGAAAGCCAATAAAACCAAAGCAGAGGGCTAGCGGGGAGAGCCACAGCAACTGATTAAACATTTTTGTTGGCAGTCACAGGCATGGGCACATTTTCCAAGGTTTGCGTCAAGGAGACATCTGGCCCTGGCCCAGAGATTTGCAGGAGGGAATCCTAGCAAGTAGAGACGAGGGGTCAGGCAGGGCTGGGCCCTATGGGGATCCTAAGCTACTGATCAGCCCCTTCCAAGCTACTGAGCGCCACCAGTGGCCTCAGTAGACTGGTTGGGACGCTTTCTGGCCAGTTCTGTGAGCTTTAGGAGTCAGGGTCCATGGAAGACAGTGTTTTGTGCTTGGAATGTCTGCTACACTGTGCAGCCCCACCCAGACTCAGCATTCTGAACTAGAAGGCTAAGGCCCAGACACCTCTGATTGTTAGGGAGTCAGCAGAGCTATTGGCTAGGCCAGAGAAGGCACCGGGATTCTGGACTCTTGGATCCTTTGACTGTAACATAACCCTCTCATTTCACAGCTTTTCCCATGCTATTTCTCTTCTCCGGGTCCTCCGCCTCCCTAAGACTGTGCTGTGCTTCCTGCCTCCCCTGTCCTAGCAGCTGCGCGTGCCATGCCTGTGTGTTCCCAGCAGGCTCTGTATTCTTATTTGCGTTTATCTTTCACTGAAAGATGCTATGGGGGTCTTTGCGGGCAGATGTGTACCGCAGTGGAAGGTGGGGGCACCCAGGTAGAGTGGACAGTGTCTTAGCTGACCTACTCAGTCCTTGGCTCTATTTGGAAGAAATGGTTCCACACGAAACTCTCCTGCCCTTCTTATCCTTCCTGGAGGCCCAGTCTGAAACAGCTGCAAGCCAGTGTCCTACAAGCACACCACAGTATCACTGATGGCATGGGGACTACCCGAGAGCTGTCACTCCCCATGTAAAAATTAAGGCATGCCCTGGTATCAAATAGCCCAGTAGCCACGTGGGCCTGCTCTATTCCCACACTAAATCCAGGGGCGAGGCGACTCCAGTTAGCTTTTCAGACATTGATTTTAGCCATCAACTCCAGCAGTATCAGGAAACATTTGTTGGAGGCAGTGTTTCAGAAGCATAGCCCTCTGTGTCCCAGGGACACCTGCCAGCTGGAACTCCATCCTTCTACAGGATTTGGTCAGGACCACTGCCTTGGCCCCGAGGCAAGCAAATACGAATTGCTTCTGCATCTGGTTTTCAGGGGCCTTGCCTCCTGTGTACTCGCCACTGGCCGCACCAGCAACTTCTGCTGTGTCATGCCCTGTCTCACCCTCACAAACCTATTACCCGGATGTTTCCTGGAAACCCCTGCACATGTTCTGGATCCTGGATCACCCGCATAGGACAAATCTCTCTGGCAGGGTTTGTCACTGTCCTGCATGTCCGTCTGTGAACATTCCTCGTGTTGTATCCTACGGTGAAATTCAGCCTCGGGGGATAGCTGAGGGTCTGACTCTAGAAAATGTATAGTGAAATGAAATCCAGGTTCCCTGGAATGAGTCACCCCAAAGAGGAGATGCCAAGGCTTGAATCTTTTACCTACCTCTGAGAAGAACACAGAGAGAATGACCAGACTGATCCAGTGAATGACCCCGGCAAACTGGGAAGCACTGGAAACTGCAATGAACACAGCGAAGTCTGGTTTAGGAGCACAGAATTGAATCCATCAGTCTGGGGGGCTTTGTGACATGGAAACAGTCTGCTGGGAACCCCTGGGTGCTTGTAGAAACCTTTGGATCTGTTAGAAACTGCACTAAAGAGCAAGAGCAGCTATAGCCAGTGGTCATGTGGAGGTGGTGGGAGCATTGTGACCCAAATGCTCGTCTCCTCAAAGGCCATCTCCACTGATCCCTCCTGCTCACTGCTGTCGCCCTTTGTGCTATACCAGACCCAGGGAAGGAGGGGTCATGACCACAGCAGAGTTGTGGACCTGAGTGGGCAGCTTCAAGATCTGCCACACGCCATCCCCATAGCTCGGTGTGTGGGGCTGCGAGTAAGGCCCTCTGCCCTTCCATTCTGAGTTTGCAACAGTGGGGATGGAGGTGACAGCGGCATGCTTTGGAAGGATGGCTGGAGCCATGCCTGGCAGGGCAAACTGACAGGAGAAGGCAACAGAGTCAGCAGACAAAGGTCCGTTCCGGGTCCACAAGGGCGAGGCCGGCACTGCCGACTCCTTGCTCCGTCTTTAGCTAGCCAGCCGTTCTAAGGGACAGGACACCACAAACAGCCTCCACACACCAGCAGGTCCCAGTTTATGTGCTACTGAGGCTAGAAGCAGGGTGCTGGGGTTCAGGACAATGGTGGGGTGACGCTGGAAGAAAGAGAGCAGAGTGGCCCCCACAGGGAAACTTCTGGATGGATTAGGGGAGCTTTGAGGGCAGGAGGTAGGGGTGCTGTGGCAAACAAGCCATGCTGGCTCCCTGGAGGGCCTGTTCAAGTTGCTCAAGTTCCCCTGGGGTCAAAGAAAGACAGTGTCTTTTAGTAGGGCTGGCTTTCCCTGTGTTCTGGAATGGGTAAACATGTGGTCTTCGTGCAAATCCAAGAGGAAGGTTGCAATAGTGGGTTCCAGGAAGGAGACACATGGGTCCCCTGGCTCAGGGCCAGTGTGACCCCCAAAGGATGAGCCCTGGGGACACCAGGAATTCCTCTTCGTTCTGAGCCATGTGAATACCGGTGGGAACCAAGAGGCTGAGGCCTGTGTGACTCTGAAGACCTCAGATGATTCTGGAAACATAAAATCTCCCCCCATTATTTCTCAAATGAATTCCTGTGCCTTTTTTACGGTTTGCTTTAGAAGAGCAATAAATCTCGGATTGTGCGTTTTATGGAATTTAAGATGCCTTTTATGAGCTGCTATTGGATCTCCCACCAAAATCAATCTCCTGGATACTTAATTTTAAGCAAAATTCCAGTGTCGGCTGGGTTCTCAGCTCTACCCGATGCCTCATCACAACCCGAGAAGCCCAGGGCTCCAGTACAACCCACCATAGGAAAAGAAGGGCTCCGTTATGGTCAGGTCTCATAAAACACAGACAGTCTGGATGCGAGGAGGGAAAGCCTACAGCATGGTTTAATTGAAGACAGGTTGAGTGTAAAACCAGTACTGGGCACTTAATGCCGGGAGATACTTTAATTGGAACCAAGGGGCCACCAGCTACATAAAACCCAACTAGGCTTATCAGACAAAAGCAATTCTGTGCTCTCCCAGAGAGCAGACAAGGCTGGTGTGTCTTGGAGGGAACCCCTGAGCATAGCAGATCCAGTAAAGGATTTGGGGTGTTTGAGAAAACAAGAGAACAAAATGGGTTTGGGGGTGGCTGAAGCTCTTGTCTCGGATTCTGCCAATGGTGGAAAATGAAATCTCTCTCTGTAATTCCACTTTTAAAGTACTTGCACTTGAATGGTCCACCTCCAGGATCAGGAAAGGTGTGTGGAGACTTTTCCATAAGGGATTTGCTCATCTACAGGCAAGGGCCAGACATGTGGGCCTCTGGCTCTCTGGTGCACCAAGCAGGGGTTTCCAAGGGTGGAGACAGAAAGCTGGCCTCCCCTCTGACAGCCACAGAGCATCAGAAGAAGCCGAGCGTCCTGGTGCCACAGGCATCAAAACTGCTGCCATCTTGAGGCTGGAAGGAATCCCCGAAGGAAGGAGAGTGGCCAAACAGCCAACAGCCTGGAGGCTTGGCTCCTCCTGCTCGGCTCCTCTGACCTGGGTGAGCCTCCAATTCCCACAAACTTTACTTTGTCTGCAAAATGGGGTCCTGTCCTCTCAGTCCTGTCCACTACATGGTTGCTGGTGTAGGTGGGAAAAGGCTTTCCGAAGCTATCAGGACAAATGTGAATGACACGGCCCACTTGAGGCTGCCACACACCAGCACTGCAGCTACTGCCTAGTTACTACAAGTGATCGACTTCCCAAGACAGAACTGTTTAAGCCAGAAAAATAATTCACCCTGGAGAATTCCAAATTAGAACAATAAGAAGAAAAGATGTACACAGGGGTCCCCAACTTTTGTTTTTGTCTCATCAGTTTCTGATCAAGGAATGTTAGGGAGGGGACTGAAGAGGCCACAATGGACAGAAGAGGACAAAGTGGTGTCGATGGTGACAGAGAAGCTGCCATGGGCTCCCTCCCCATGGGCTGTTGTGGGGCCAGCAGCTTGGCGGAGGCACAGGCTGGGGGACGATCCCAGTCTGCAGGTTGGGGACCCCTGAGGGGTGCAGATGCACAGTGAATATTGACATGTATCTCTCTTGCTACTCACACTGGAGAAGCTTCATATCTATTAGAAGTTCCAGGGTCAGGAGAATCACCACCAATATTACACAGGCTACCAGGAAACTGTTGAGACTTGCACTGAGCAAAAATACCTGCCACACGGCTGCCCTCTTCCCACAGCATGGCTTCAGCCAGTTAGACCTGAAGGAACAAAAGCAAGAAGAGGGTCTGAGGGGAGATCCTGACCATAGCCTTGCCTCAAATCAACCAGCCTGGCTCCCCCTGGGCTGCTGTTTTGTTTCCTTGGCCATGCTGGGGATGGGGGCAGGGCCTTGCGAAGCTAAGCAAGCACACCACCACTGGGCTGCAACTGCAGCTCAGTGTCACTGGAGATATGCTTAGTCAAGGGACACAGCTGGTTTACAGGCTGACACTGTAAACTTACAGGAACTCTCTGGGATTCAATCTTCTCAGCTTGGAAATGGGTGTGAAACTCACACTCCATAGGTGAGTCAAACTTGCCTAGGTGGCAAGAGCTATTGGACAAGCCTGCTGTCACTGCATTTCTAATGTCTCGGAACTCAGCTCATGTGCTGGCATTTGGGGAAATCTCTGTTTATACTCAACAAATATGCTGAGGCACTCAGAGGATGGAACCAGACCTTTTTCAACCAGAAAGGGAAGCGCTGGATTAGATCCCTGCTTATCAGAGTGGATTCTCTAGACACTGGTTCTATGGAGGGTTAATAGCTGTTACTGATCCCCCCTAAAATTTTCTATAATTGGGTTTTGGAAAACTGGATCAAAGTCCAGTGGTCATTTATTTGTGGGACATCCCAGTCCCCTTACCGCACTGCTATGCCTCACTGTGCTGCACACGGATGCCATCTGTGTTTACCAAACTGGTTAGGCCAGAACTTCTCTCGTCACAGAGTATCAGGTGGGACTCACACTCTGTGTATGGCTGTGTATACGGAGGCATTTATAGGGGAGAGGAGGCCTCTGAGGATAGACTCTTCTGAATAGGTTGGGAGTGGGCAGGAGGCCACAGGACCTCAGAGCAACTAAGCATCTTAGAGTACTAGTTCCCTTCCCCTGGGGAACGCAAGAGGGGGACCCTTTGCTGGCACTGTGAGGCTGGGGTGCTGCACTCAAACCTCACTGCTTGGGTTGTTTATGACCTGTCCCTGCCTGCCCATCTGTTTCTAGTGGGGATTGCGCATCCTAAAGGGTCTGCCCCATTGCCCTGGGATCATGTGCAAAGGTATCAGGTCACTCTGGGACTCTGCTTCCCCATTTTGAAAGTAAAGAATAGTATTTTTAACTTGTAGAGTTGTTGGAAGCTAAAGGAAAGAATATATCTGACCTGAAAACACAGTGTGGCTGAAATGACATGATGGTGGTGATGATGATGACACTGGTGATGACAATACTGAGGGTGATGACGATGATGATGACAATACTGAGGGTGATGACAATACTGAGGGTGGTGATGATGACAATACTGATGATGACAATGATGATGATGACAATACTGAGGGTGATGACAATACTGAGGGTGGTGATGATGACAATACTGATGATGACAATGATGATGACAATGATGATGGTGATGACAATACTGAGGGTGATGGTGATGACAATACTGAGGGTGGTGATGATGACAATACTGATGATGACAATGATGATGATGACAATGATGATGATGACAATACTGAGGGTGATGACGATGACAATACTGAGGGTGATGACGATGACAATACTGAGGGTGATGACAATACTGAGGGTAATGGTGATGACAATACTGAGGGTGGTGATGATGATGATGACAATACTGAGGGTGGTGATGATGACAATACTGAGGGTGATGACAATACTGAGGGTAATGGTGATGACAATACTGAGGGTGGTGATGATGATGATGACAATACTGAGGGTGGTGATGATGACAATACTGAGGGTGGTGATGATATTGATGGTCACAATAATATCTGATGGCCCAAATGCTCGACCATCACCACATCTTCCTCTCCAGAGGGAGTCAGTCTGCTACAACCTGTTGCAAGGAGGACCAGTGTCTTCCTCCTGAAGACTTGGGTGTCAACAGGATGGGAAGGCAGCTCTGCTTTTTAGCGCTTTCTGAAAGAATGGTGTGGACACTTTGGGATGCCAACATCTTCCTCATGGTTCATTCAGAGAAAGCTTGAATGCCAGAGGTGACAGCCTTGAAGAAACCTGGCAGGAAACTGGGTTTGCCCAAGTCTCTCTAGATATTTCTAATACTTATGGGAATGCTGACGGTCTCTGTCCTTGGCTCAGTGGTGATGCAAAGACCAGATATGGTCCCCTCATGAAGCAGGCTCCTGAAAGAGATGCTTAGAGACCTGAACCGGTGATGGAGAAAGCTAAGCAGGTCACCTTGGATGGGGGAAGAAGGGTTGACATGAGTTCCTACAAAGGCCAAGAGGGTGGAGCGAGGGGGACGAGACTGTCTGGGTCAGAGGAGAAGGCTTCTCTTTAAGGGACAAATGGAAAACAGCTACAAAGCCCAGTGGGAGATAAATCACAAAGACCAACAACGGGATCTTTGTGGTCCCTTGCAGGTGAAACTTCAAACGCATGGGTTGACACACTTGTCATTTTTCTTGCGTGCTCTCCCACAGGTCAATCCAAACAGAAGCCATATGGAACTTGGCAGGGTTGCTAGTTAAAGTCAAATTTCAGATAAACAACAAACAACTTCCTAACACAGGAATGCCCCAGATATTGCACAGAAGGTACCTTACTAAAAACTACACCATTCCAACCTCTCAGGGCCTTAGGTGTTGCTATCTGCTAGGCCTGGCAAACTCCTAGTGAGAGTGGCTGTGATTTAGCCCGAGAAATGCACAGACAAAGAGGCCATATTAGTATTTGAAAAAGCAACCTTCTTAGGAGCCCAAGGTTGATTTTCTCAGTTGTACTCGGAGAGGGTAAACAAAAGAGCCCTAGCACCCAGGAGAAGTACTTTATGAGTGATAAATATTCTTTTCTTGAGACTGCATGACCCTGGCACACCTCCAGCAGCCAGGGAAATCTAGAGGAAAACCCATGAGGCCAGCTGTCATCACGAGAGGCAGAGGGAAGTACTCGACTATGAAGCCTCTAGCATGTACTCATGGACAGCCTGTTCCCTTGTTCTTGGTGGCCCCCAGAAGTGGAAGGCTACAGCCCACGGGAGCCACGTCTGCAAATGGCTTTCATGCACACAACACTCTTGGCTGTTAAGAACTGTACCAGCCGGGCGATGGTGGTGCACGCCTTTAATCCCAGCACTCGGGAGGCAGAGGCAGGCGGATCTCTGTGAGTTCGAGATCAGCCTGGTCTACAAGAGCGAGTTCCAGGACAGCCTCCAAAGCCACAGAGAAACCTTGTCTTGAAAAACAAAGCAAAACCACTCTGTCGTCCTGCCCTCCTCACCCTTCCACCTTGTCTGTTCCCTACTTTTCTCACGTGACCCTCCTATCTCCCCTTCTGCCTGGCCCTATTTGCATCACCCAACCCCTCTCAGTTTGTGCCCAGCCTTCAACCTGGCACGTGCGGAAGCTGTGCCCTTCCAATGGCATGCTTTCTTTTCCAGGGCACAAAGACACCCCAGCTCCAGCCACACAACTATTAGTGACCGCTAACACTGGTGCCATTTCATGGTCACTTGAAATGGGAGTCAAGCCGCTTTGGAAGCTATAAATAAAGCGGACAGCTGGGAAGACTGTTGGCCCTGGGTGACATCCAGTGGTGAGCAGGAGGCTTCACCCTGGTGGTCGGTGGAAGCAGCTGGGCGTCCTCCTGCCTCCCACCTTGTATACATCTGATGGGCATGACATGCACCACCCTGAGAGCCTGCTGCTCCTTCTGCCCCAGAGGAGAGCCCCCACACAGACGGAAGGGAAAGGACCTGAGTGATGTTCAGGGAGGCCGCTTCATGCTGCTGTTTAAGTGTAAAAATGCTGGTTTGGCTTTGGAAAGAGATGTGGGCAGGAGTCTCCTGCGATCTGAGGCTAGCCTGAGCGGGGGGGGGGGGACCAGATGGAAGGATACAGACGGCTGGGGCAGATCTGGATGTCAAAGGATGCTGTGCCACCAGCATGGACTAGGTGGGCTCTGTGTCCCAAGTCAGCAAAACTGGTTACATTGTATTGGGAAAGAGGAACTCAAGTTATAATGTGCTCTAAGGTGACAGGGGCTTTAAACAGGGAAACCTGGAGCCGATGCAGGACTCGGGATGGTGAAGAGTTGAGCAGACAGTTAAAAACCAGGTGTTAGGGCGTACAGGGCCATCCCCGAGCCTCAGCTCACTACCCTGTGCTTGTAAGCTGGACCTGATGACTGTTTCTACCCCCTCATCAGGGGGTGGGAAAGACAGTGTTTGAGTATCCAGCTGCTGCTACCACCTGCTGTACGCAATGCTGCCCTAACTTCATGGGGCTGGAACATATAGTTGAGGAAGACTAGGGGAGGGGCTCCATATACTCAGCTATGGGAAGCCTTCATCCTGCTGGGTATATACTTTCTGGCACAACCTTTAGGGTGAGGAGCACCCACACTCCAATAGATACCCCCAAACCCCACAGCACTTGCAAAGCCAAGCCTACCGGGTCCTGTATTTCTACTTCTGTGGCAGCTTAGCTGTGCCCAGCCAGAGCTTGGCCCTCAGCTACCAGCCCCTCCTCTACATCAGCGTAGGGGTGTCCCCTGGCTGCACAAGGATGTGGTATTTGTATCACAGATGACCCCACAATGCATAGCAGGGACTTACACTGACAAAGGAAAGGACCCACTGTGGATGGATGTGTCAGAGGCCTGGGGGCTGGGATCTGATCCAGGTCACAGGCTGTTGTAAAGCCCAAGGTTCAAAGTCATACTCCTCCCTCCTTATTAAGACACCACTTCTGGGTTAGGACTGTGGTCTAACGTCCTGGGGGTGATCCCAAGGTGTAGTCCCACTGGCCTCTTTGTATTCATCACCTGGGCACCCACAGAGTTATGGAAGCTATGTCCCCCTCAACACCCACTGCATTTCAGTGAGCACCCAGGCGATGTGGTCGAGAATGTTCTTCCAGATGACAAGTATTATGGAGGATGACAGGGTGTGGTGAAGGAAGCTTGGGAACAGGGCAGAGATAACAGTGACAGTAAGAAGGGCCACTTGCCTGTGGCTCGGT